AGCGTCAAATACAGACGCCGATGGGAATACATTGCAATCAGTTGAAAGCTCTTTGCATCCGTTTATGAAGCTGAAGGAGCCTCGGCGCGTCACAACTGGACGCCACGGGACCCTGACCAAGCGTCGCTCCTGGACGCTTAGGGAGTGAGAGTGTGTTGGTCTCTGGGGAATGGGCCGGTAGGCCTACATAGACCGGTTGCAATAATATAGCTTTTGATCTTGGCGTCGGGGGTCTCAATAGCGCCATAGAGTCCCCTATCGGTTGGGGCCCTTGGGGGAACTGTTGGACCACCGCCGGGCACAGCCAAATCCAGGCTCTCCTCCTGGCTGGCTGGAGAAGAAGGTTGCACAGCCACGGCCACGGATACAGCTTCACTTGTGGAGCTAGATGGCAATGATTGTGGTGAGCTATCGTTAGCCTCCGGCTCTGGCTGCCGCTGCACGTCAACATTGCTAACGTTAGCGCTCGATTTCGAGGACGATGTATGACAAAAAAAATTGTCTAATTTTGTCAGTTTAGCTGTTACATCTCCTTGTTCTCTCTTGTCCTTTCTCTTTTGAGCGCCGCTCTTGTGCTTTGGTTTGCTGTACATTATAAATGCAAGCTATTACATTTTTTATAATGCTACCGAACTTGCTGCTGCTACTGTAGCTACATTACAGTACAGGTTGATTAAACGGTTCGCTCATCACGCAAGGTATCACATGTCATGAAAGGGAGCAAGGTCAATGGAGAGACAAATTACAAATTAATTTAGGTTGCTTGGTTACTTTGAAGACTGAGTGAACCGGTCAATGCCATTGGGGCCCCAAAAAAAAAATGTTTAAAAAGAAAAATTTAAAAACATGCACTTCTTTTGCATGGGCCCCTGGCCGGCTCTTGGTCCCGGTGCGTTGCACCGGCTGCACCGTCGATAGTTACGCCACTGGATGGGACCCCGCTGACCACAAGGTTCACTCATTATTTCACTTTTCTATTGTCAAGGTGAGCTGTGACAGACACTCGCTCTGCAGCTTTATGTCATACATACACAGTTGATGTCAGGTTAAAATGTATTATTATGTTGTCTTTGGGGGTTTCAGCTACTGGTACACCGGTGAGCCAAATGGAAATTGGAAGATGGACGAAGAATGCGTAGAAATATTTCACGAAGATGTAAGAAACAGCTGGATAGATAGTTATTGCAGTGATACAAATCGATGGATATGTGAGAAGAGATTGGCATAACTCCACATCTAGTCCCACAAAACGATGATGAAAAAAACAGGAACAACTTGCATTTCTCATTTTCAGCCTAAATTCAAATGTGGAGGTCCAGGTGGGGGAGGGGTTGGACTCTCATGTAGATATCTGGAGTCACGTCATGTCTCAGATTTAGGATTAATGTTCACTTTTTAAAAACTGGAATTGCAATTCCTAAAAGTGTATTTTCTCTGCTTTTGCAATTATAATACCGGCTGCCTGCTTTTAGATTCTCTTATTTAAACTTGAAATCATGTCCTAGTTTTGTGTCTTAGAGATGTAATGATTTTATTTTCTATTCAAAATAAATGATTCATAAGTGATATGAGAAATTAATGTTGCAACATTTGTTTTTCAAATAAGACAGTCCTCTTGGTGAAGAGCAGTTCTCACAGTATAGAGGGAAGTGCTATTCTGTACCCTAACCACATCTTCTCCCTTCTTTGTAAACTATGCTTTCAATGTTCTCTTTTAGATAGTGGTATATTTGGAGTGCATGCAAACATCCGCTTGCAGACATTACTGGGTCTAGTATAATATGGTGTCTCTCATCGTAGAATCTTACGTTTATGTTATAAATAACCTGCAAGGGCCCAGAATCCCACTGCCATATGAAAGAATAAACCAACGAGTTTTATACAAATGCTAATGTTTTATATTATAAAGGGGACATGACCCAACAAGACTCTGATATGATTCAGCAGATCTATATAAACTTACAGAAGCGTTAACCACCTTTTTTTATTTTTTTATTTAGCCTTTATTTATACAGGTGTAAAAAATCTCATTGAGACACAAGGTCTCATTTGCAAGAGAGACCTGTCAGTGGTAACACTACCACACAAAGTTACAGACAGACAGGACACTAAACACAGAGGCAACTACCTTTAGTAGTAGCTTCACATTTTTGTATTTAAAAGAGAATTCAGAGTGTGTTGTAAAGAAGTAATGTCATTACTTGTTGGCATACTACTGGATGATTATGTAAGTTAACTACAGGGGTTTATTTTACAGTGGATATTGGTGATAATGTCATTGTAAATTTGGTCAAAAGTTATATTATGAAAAATTGTCAAACTAATAACTAAGTACAGAGATAACCAGTTATGGTGCAAATAAATAAGGGTAGAGTATAGTCATTCAGATAATAACAAATTAAAAAACATGAAATGTCTTTGCATTATGTGTCACTGATAAACAACAATAATGATGATTTGCTTTGGAATAAAAATAAAAGTGTGAATTGTGAATAAAAGTCCAAATTACACAAGGTACACAATAATCATTACGTCAAAGCTGCAGCAGAGGTTGTAACAGCAAGCGAGTTGTGAACATTAAGGAAGAAGAGAGACCATTTGACTTCAAATCAGGAAGAACAAGAGTGTTTTTGCAGTTTTAGGCGACGAAGAATAGTATTTATCATCATATGCTTATGTCTGGTTAATGTTGCATGACGTTTATATTTATGTAAGTGCATGGCTGCGTTCGAGTCACTTTGCAATCTATACTCTCACTTCTGTAGCCAGTGCAAGTGATAACCCCCTGTTTCAATTATAATTTTTGCAAGATATGACGATCACTTGTTCTGAATGCTTTCGAAAAAAGAAAATCACTGTGTATTAGGGTGTGCAATATGACCTAAAATGTTAAATATATAAAGTTATTTACACAACTCAAATTTTATTAACATTCATTTCAACAGTATGTGTGAACGTATTTTTAATTCATCGTATTGAACAATAATTGCTCTGAAATAATTATAATCAAAACCACCTCGGTTAATTTGTTTTAAAGTGAATACTTTCTTCAGTTGATCCAATTATCATAGTTGGTAACCTCTCCACTGAAAATGACAGTTTCACAGCAAAACTCCCTGACTGAAGAGAGAGACGAGATGAAGAGAATTAAGGGCTGTTTCTTCCTATAGGCAGACTGTGCGGATGCATAAGGCCCCCGCGGCCACTAGGGGGTCCCCAAGCTGAAAGTTCAGGTTCAGCCCCCTCCTGTGTTCGGTGGGGTAAAGGTGGGGTAGGTAAGTTTGAGAAACCGGCTCGAGATACACTTTTTGTTATATTCCATGGAATGCTCTTAACATCCCGATAGCAATGAATATCTTAAGTGCTTTGACAAAAAATCCATAAAAAAATGTCATCTGTGGAAGCCGTAGTACTGTAAAAAGCATGACCAATCATTTTAGCCGGCCCGGCTAAAATAACTGGATGGCCTACCTGCCTGTCAGCCTTCCATCGGGGCACAAACTTATCTCGTGCCCTCATTGGTCATGTGCGCGTTCGTGTGTGTTAGAGGAGGGGCTCTATAAGGAAGTGGCTCCGGTTGTGTATTTTCAAATTCTAGCGATCTCGAGCCGGTTTTTCAAACTTACCTACCCCACCTTTAAAATCAAATGTAGGATATAAACACACAATTAAACTGCAATGATAGAAAAGCTGTGGCTTGTGTTTTTTGGGGAATAAAGTCAAAATCATCGTTGGGCTGTTACCCAATGAGTGACGTCTGAGGAAGATGACAAATGTAAATTATACATTGTTGAGAAAATGCTGCATCTCTTGCACTTATTGACGTAGAGGAGCCTTATTGTTTACCTTTTTAATATAATTCTTTGTACGTTTAAATTGCTTGGTTTTCGTGAAATTAGCCTGTTTTCCTCTTAAAGTGTAACAGATGGATGCATCTCCACAGATCATCTTAAAGGCTTCGGAATCCGCCCATTGTAGTTAAAAAACAAACTGTAAAAACTAGGGCCCACAAACAGCATCTTGCATAGGGCCCCCACAAAGCTAGAAACGGCCCTTGAATTAACCTTGGTAAGTATTAAGATGAAACTACTGCAATAATCAGTGGTTTGATCTGAAGGGGTAAATCGTACTTAATCAGTACTAAATATCACATTAGGTAACAATATATAATATTGTATTTATCTGAGGCTTTTATCCGAAGCAACCTACAATAGGTGCCAACCATAAAAATACAAACATCAAGAAACATGCATATCAGTGAGCATGCTGACTGATGCTAATCTCTGTAAAAAAAACTAATAGACGTCTTTGAAGTCACGTCCACACCGTAAGCGCTTCACATCCGGATAATGTTAGTTCATTTTTTTAAATGTGTTACATTTAAATTACTTACACATTTAAGAAGAGGAAATTATACATATGTTGTTGACAATGCCTTGGTTCTTTGATTAGTGGCTGTAGGAGGGTTCACAAAAAAAAATGTCTTCACAAATAAACTTAGTTCAGTTATATACAAATATATAACTGAACTAAACATATCCTGTATTACTGATATGGTCCTGTTGAAAATAATGACAGCCTCTCCATACACCAGGACTGTTTAGCAGAATGAATGTCCTGAAAACATGATATGGTGTTGGAATAAGAAAAGGAAACATGGATCAATACATTATCATTGATAGATTATAATATACAATGGGAATTCTGTTTTAGATCTGGAGGCAACATTGAAAATGACAGTTTCACAGCAAAACTCCCTGACTGAGGAGAGAGACAAGTTGAAGAGAATAAAAAGACATTTTAATATATGACTCAGGGAAAGGAATGAAACAATTGCCCTTTTCAAAGCATGTACTTCTTTTCTTTTTTCTTTTTTTTTTTACTGAACTATAATTTGTGCTTTATTTTCAACAAAGCCAGCTCAGACATTAGTTTTTACACTCAATCATATGTTTATTTGGACACATAATCACATTTTGTCAATAAAATTGAAAATTAAGTTTCAGAGCAAAACTCCCTGACTGAAGAGCGAGACGAGTTGAAGAGAATCAACCTTGGTAAGTATTGAGATGAGACTTCTGCAATAATCAGGGGTTTGATCGGAAGGGGTATATCGTACTTAATCAGTACTAAATATCACATTAGGTTACAATATATCATACATTTGTATCTGAGGCTTTTATCCAAAGCAACATACAATAAGTGCTATAAACCATAAAAATACAAACTCAGAACATCAAGAAACATGCAGATCAGTCAGCATGCTAACTGATGGGCAACCAGCTAGTCAGTTAGCATGCTAATCAAGTAATTTCTGTAGAAATCTCTGCAACACGTAAACCTCTTTGAAGACACGTCAACACTTTAGGCTCTTCACATTCTGCTGATAATGATAGTTCATTAGTTTATGTTTTAATGATAAATTCTGTCTTATCTTACACATTTAAGAAGAGGAAATGAAACAGATGTTGTTGAAAACACCTTGGCTCTTGGTTTTGTGGCTGTAAAAACGGAATACAATGTTTTTCTTCACAAATATACTTAAAGGGCCCATGTCATGGCCATTTCCACTGATCATAATTACATTGTTGAGGTATACTAAAATAGATTTATACTGTGCAATTTTCCAAACTCACATTGGTTTCGCATACAGCATCTCTGTCAAGCATGTGTATTCAGCAGTATTCACTTTCTCCACTAAACGACTCGTTGGAGCTCTTGCCCCCCCCTCCCTGTGAGCCTAGTGTGCTCCGATTGGTCAGCTCGGCCACTCGTTCTGATTAGTCAACCACCAGAGAGGCTGCGCCCATGTCTAACAGTGCTTTTCCCGGCTGCTCTCAGCGTAACATCAGTCTTATCATGGCGTCGGCACAGCCGTATATTTTATATACATATATATTTTTAACTGTTGTTATAGAAGAGTGTGACGGCCCCAGGGCCTTTGTCTTACGATGGGGTGGAGCTGAAGAGGCTAATCAGCACGATCACGGACACCTCCGGACACTACGGCCCCAGTCTCTCTCCAAAGCGGCTGCGGGAAGACTCTGCGATCCTCTCAACCACCTATTTCTCCATTTACCACAATAAATGTGCCGTGGTTTTGTAAACTCGTGTATGTCTCCTTGTCTTTGTGGCCTACGAGCCGCTCATAACAAAGAGTAAGTTATTTTTACCCGTTATAACTACTACTGTTTGATGAGAAATCAAATCATGGTTTGCTATATATGAATTCAGGGAAGAAAGGATAGGCCTACTAAGTATTTCCATTAAACTTTATTTTTAGAAATGTACAAAATGAACATAAATATACATATATACACGGTATATCATCCATTCCTCCTCCTTGCATCTTGCCTGCTCACAGTCGGTGCGGTGCCTTTTAGCACGACGCCTCAGTAGTAGTAGAAGTGCCTTTTAGCACGTCATGGATTGTCCGCCAGGATCTGGCTGGACGAAATCAAATGCAAATCACAAAATATTAGAGAAACTTAGTTGTTTTAGATTCGTTAGTAGTAGTTGTGTAATGAACAGGATGCTGGATGCAATCCTACCTGGAGGGGAGAGAACAGATGGTGGAGGTAAACGGTACTCTGTCCCCCCCCCTCCCAGTGAGCTGTGGTGTTCCACAAGGAAGCATATTAGGTCCGTTACTGTTCCTAATTTATGCAAATGACATGTCATCAGCATGTGACTGCAACTTGTTCCTGTTCGCGGACGACTCAGCCCTGCTGGTCTCTGACAGGAGCAGATTGCAGGTTGAAAAAACCCTCAGCTCCGAGCTCGGCAGAATCTGCACCTGGCTCGCCGATAATAAATTATCATTACACCTGGGTAAAACAGAGTCCATTCTCTTCGGTTCGAAACATAATCTCAGCAAATCCGACGACTTCTCAGTTGCAGTGGGTGACATTATTGTCACAAGTAAGAAGGAAATTACATACCTAGGATCTATTCTTGAGGCAAACCTCTCCTGTGACAAAATGGCATCCAATGTAATAAAAAAAGTCAATCAAAGAACTAGATTCCTATACCGGATCTCCTCTCTGGTAAACAAAAACACCCTGAAAACTCTGGCAGGAGCACTCATTCAAGGGTACTATGACTATGCTTGCACGTCATGGTACCATAGCACCTCCAAGGCGCTAAAAATAAAACTTCAAACATCGCAAAATAAACTGGTCAGACTACTGCTTGACCTTTCATCTAGAACCCACCTCACCTCTGCCCACTTTGACAACCTAGGATGGCTTAGAGTAGACGACAGAGTACAGCTACTTGCAATGGGCCTGGTCTACAAGATCCACTACACCTCTATGGTACCCATGTACATGTCAAAATTCTTCCCAAAGGTCAAGGAATACCATGATCATAACACCAGAGGGAGCTCCACAAATCATGTAAAACCCAGATTTGGCACAAAAAAGGGGGAATACACGTTTCGCAATTATGCCACATCAAGGTGGAACGCTCTTCCCACAACTGTAAAGGAAAGTAAAACTATACTTACCTTCAAAACCTCTCTTAAAGAGCACCTTCGGGGGAAAGCATTGCAAAACTGGCCCCGGTAATGGTACAAATCTCAACCTGTCGTACAATGGACAGCTTCCCCCCCCCATCTATGTATATACTCGCATTTTAGACTCTGTTACTAACTGTATATCTGTAGACTTGGTATGTCTTAAATGTCCGGTTAGGATGTATTAGAACGAAATCTAAAATGAAAATTGTAAATAAGCCATCTGTATGTAAAAAACCACCTGTATGTAAATTGTAAATAAGCCATCTGTATGTCAAATATGTCTTATATGTCTTAAATGATATGATGAATTGGAAATGGGGGACCCTGATGTAAACAAGACGAAAGTCTTTCTCTGGTCTGCATCCCCTTAACAATTGTATGTTTTGAGCTGTACTGTACTGTACCCAATATACAAGCTGTTAATAAACTTTTCAATCAATCAATCAATCAACAGCTTGCCTGCTAATATGTTAACCTAGCTTTGTTTACCTTGGTAGCTAACACGATATGAACGTTAGCTTGGAGGAAAGGCAACTATAATGCAGTGTAATAAAACTACTATGAACAAAAGCTAGTGGTTCATATTAGGCTAGCAATAACGTGTTTATAATTGCAATCGTATACGGGTATTCTGCTACCATACAATGTAACTTGCATGAATACATTGTTTTGCGTTAGCATACAGCTAGCCTCGTTAGCTACATGCAGTATATGTACGGTAAATCACAGTACAGTATACTGTATGAGTATTCCGTGTGTGTGAATGCAGACATTCTCCTGCTATGAGATACATGTATGCAAGGCCATCTGCTGATATTAGAGTTGATATATGGAAACTCTAGCAACTTAGTTAGCACAGTTAGCACTGTGTCAATGGCTTAGCAGTCCAACACAGTTTACACATTTAAACAGTCTTGTTTGATAAATACACAAATAACAATGCAAACTTACAGGTTGTATACCCAGATCTTCCCCTGCTCCAAACGGTCCAAACAAGCTGTGCATATCCGGCCTCAAACTGGGCAATGTTTTGGAAGCTTTCGTCTGTGAAATGCCGGTTCTTCCGAACCTCTGGAGGAGGAACACGCCGCTGCTGGTGTGGCCATAGCTCTTCGGGATTGGTCCATTTCGTTCCGGGTACCGCATGACATCAGGCGGTACCCGGAACTAAATGGAAGACTCAAATGGGCAGTGACGTATCTCCAACGAGGCGTTTTGGGGAGGTATTTTCTGTGTTAGAGTTTTACTCGCTACAGGGTGTACTTTGAGGGTTTTGACTCTGCACACCGTTTACATGCATAAAAACCTTCATAACACACAAGGGGACGGGTAATAACCGGAAAAGCATGACATGGGATCTTTAATTGAACTAAACATACAGTATATCGTAATACTTATCTGGTGCATTCAACAGGATTGTTTGGCAGAAATAATTTCTTGAAAACATGATATGGTGTTAGATTAAGAAAAGGAAACAAAGACCCATACATTATCATTGATAGATGAACATAATAGACATTGGGAATTCTGTTTTAGATCTGGAGGCCAGAGGCAAAAACCTGACTGAGGAGAGAGATGACCTGAAGAGAGCTGTGAAGGACTATGGTAGGTACAATGCGTGCGCATCTCTCCCAGATGAGCTAAACAGTTTTTTTGCACGCTTTGAGAGCAGCCAGGCTGTGGAGGTACAGAGGGACCAGGAGCTACACTGCCCTTTTGTTTTAAATAGGGCAGATGTGTGTAAATCCTTTAAAAGGGTTAACCCACACAAGGCTCCTGGACCTGATGGCATCCCTGGCCGTGTTCTCAGGGTGTGTGCAGTTCAGCTGGCAGAGGTGTTCACAGACATCTTCAACAGGTCCCTGCTGCAGTCTGTAGTCCCCACATGTCTTAAACACTCCACCATCATTCCTGTCCCCAAAAAGACAATCATCACCTGCCCCAACGACTACCGCCCAGTAGCACTCACCTCCATCATAATGAAGTGCTTTGAGCGGTTAGTCAAATTATTCATCACCTCCTCCCTCCCTGAATCTCTGGACCCCCTGCAGTTTGCCTACAGAGCAAACAGGTCCACAGACGACGCCATAGCCCTCACCCTCCACACTGCCCTCTCACACCTGGACCCGAAGAACAGGAACACATATGTGAGAATGCTGTTCATTGACTACAGTTCAGCATTCAACACCATTGTGCCCTCCAAGCTGGCCATCAAGCTCAGAGACCTCGGGCTCAACAGCGCCCTCTGCGACTGGATCCTGAACTTCCTGACGGGCAGACCCCAGGCAGTGCGGGTGGGAAACATCACATCCTCCACCCTGATTCTTAACACCGGTGCCCCTCAAGGCTGCGTGCTCAGCCCTCTCCTCTACTCCCTGTTCACCCACGACTGCGTGGCCACACACAGCTCCAACACCATCGTGAAGTTTGCTGATGACACGACCGTCATCGGCCAGATCACAGACGATGACGAGACGGCATACAGAGAGGAGGTCGAAAACCTGACATCTTGGTGCCAGGAGAACAACCTCCATCTCAACATCAGCAAAACAAAGGAGCTGATTGTGGATTACAGGAAGCAGCAGGGAGAGGGACACGCCCCCATCGCCATCAATGGGACTACGGTGGAGAGAGTCAAAAGCTTCAGGTTCCTTGGGGTCCACATCACTGAGGACCTGACATGGTCTCTTCACACCACCACCATCACCAAGAAAGCTCGACAGCGGCTCTTCTTCCTCCGCAGGCTGAGGAGGTTCAAAATGGATTCCAGGATACTCTGCCACTTCTACAGGTGCACTTCTACAGGTGCACGATAGAGAGTATCCTCACTGGCAGCATGACGGCCTGGTACGGCAGCTGCACCGACCTCGATCGTAAGGCTTTACAGAGGGTGGTGAAAACTGCACAGCACATCACCAGGACGGAGCTGCCATCCATGGAGGACCTTTACTCCCAGCGGCTCAGGAAGAAATCACTACGGATTATCAAAGACCCCCATCACCCCAGCCACAAACTGTTCTTTCTGTTGCCGTCTGGCAGACGTTACCGCAGCATCCGGGCAAGGACAAGAAGATTCGGAGACAGTTTCTTCCCGCGGGCAGTGAGACTGTTAAAAAATTGAACTGTTGAAACAACTTCAAACATTCAACTGCTACTCAGTAGTATGTATCTAATACCTAATATATATATATCATTCCAATAACTTGTATATAGACTCATACTGCACTATTCCACATCATAACTTTATTTCATTTTTATAACTATTATTATTTTTGTATTGCTCTTGCTCTTATTGTTATTATGTTATGTTATTATGTTGCATTGTTGGAGAAGCCTGTGACATAAGATTTTCAACTGCATAATTACTCTGTAGCTATGTCAGATTGACAATAAAGAACCTTGAACCTTGATAAAGTCAATTGTTGAAGTGAAATAGACACTTGAGCTTTGGACTCCTGTATTTTCTACAAGCTGCTCTCAATATTTCCCTCTGTTTTGCTCTTTTAAAATCTTCTTAATTTGTGCCTCTCACTTCTGGTGCAAATGGTCAACACCCCGGTTTGAGTATCAAACTCTAGTTGCTCTGATTGCTTTTGAGAAACGTATCCCTGTAAATCGGGGTATACATACAATAGGATCAGAAATACAAAATAAAATGTTTAATATATGACTCAGGGAAAGGAATGAAACAATTGCCCTTTTCAAAGCGTGTACTTGCTTCTTTTTCTTTTTTTTTACTGAACTATAATTTGTGCTTTATTTTCAACAAAGCCAGCTCAGACATTTAGTGTTTACACTCAATCATATGTTTATTTGGACACATAATCACATTTAGTTGGTAACCTCTTCACTAAAATTGAAGTTTCAGAGCAAATCTCCCTGACTGAAGAGCGAGACAACTTGAAGAGAATCAACCTTGGTAAGTATTGAGATGAAAGATAAGATAAGATAAGATAAGACTTTATTAATCCCGAAGGAAATTGTTGTGCCAGAGTTACAAAAATACAATAAACACAGCAGCATAATAGTAACACTGTACACTTAAAAGTGCAGTAAAAAGAGCAATTCAATATCTACAGGAAACATGAAACATAGACGGTCACATAATTAATGTAATTATTACCAGTATTTAGTAGTGCAAAAACTACTGCAATAATCAGGGGTTTGATCTGAAGGGGAATATCGTACCCAATCGGTACTGAATATCACATTAGGTAACAAAATATAATTTAATTTATCTGAGGCTTTTATCCAAAGCAACCTACAATAGGTGCAATAAACCATAAAGATACAAACTCAGAACATCAAGAAACATGCATGCTGACCGACGGGCAGCGGCTAGTCAGTTAGCATGCTTATCTCTGCAGAACAACATATAGATGTTTTTGAAGTTACGTCAACATCGTAAGCTCTTCACATTCTGTTGATAATGATAGTTCATTTTTTTTACGTTTTAAATTTAAATTACTTATCTTACACATTTATACAGAGGATATGATACAGCTGTTGTTGATAACGGTGATCACAATATTTATTTTGTTCACAAATATATAACTGAACTAAACATATCCTGTATTACTGATATGGTTCTGTTGAAAATAATGACTGACTGTTCAACAGGACAGTTTAGCAGAATGAATTTCCTGAAAACATGATATGGTGTTAGATTAAGAAAAGGAAACATGGATCCATACATTATCATTGATAGATTAACATAATATACAATGGGAATTCTGTTTTAGATCTGGAGGCCATTGGCAAAAACCTGACTGAGGAGAGAGATGACCTGAAGAGAGCTGTGAAGGACTATGGTAGGTACAATGATAAAGTCAATTGTTGAAGTGAAAGACACACTTGAGCTTTGGACTCCTGTATTTTCTACAAGCTGCTCTCAATATTTCCCTCTGTTTTGCTCTTTTAAAATCTTCTTAATTTGTGCCTCTCACTTCTGGTGCAAATGGTCAACACCCCGGTTTGAGTATCAAACTCTAGTTACACTGATTGCTTTTGAGAAATGTATCCCTGTACATCGGGGTATACATACAATAGGATCAGAAATACAAAAACATTTTAATATATGACTCAGGGAAAGGAATGAAACAATTGCCCTTTTCAAAGCGTGTACTTGCTTCTTTTTTTTTTCCTTTTTTTTTACTGAACTATAATTTGTGCTTTATTTTCAACAAAGCCAGCTCAGACATTTAGTTTTTACACTCAATCATATGTTTATTTGGACACATAATCACATTTTGTTGGTAACCTCTTCACTAAAATTGAAAATTAAGTTTCAGAGCAAAACTCCCTGACTGAAGAGCGAGACGAGTTGAAGAGAATCAACCTTGGTAAGTATTGAGATGAAACTACTGCAATAATCAGGGGTTTGATCTGAAGGGGTATATTGTACTTAATCAGTACTAAATATCACATTAGGTTACAATATATTATTATTTTTAATCTGAGGCTCTTATCCAAAGCAACATACAATAAGTGCAACAAACCATAATCAAACTCAGAACATCAAGAAACATGCAGATCAGTCAGCATGCTAACTGACGGGCAACCAGCTAGTCAGTTAGCATGCTAACTGACGGGCAACCAGCTAGTCAGTTAGCATGCTAATCACGTAATTTCTGTAGAAATCACTGCAACACGTAAACCTCTTTGAAGACACGTCAACACTTGAGGCTCTTCACATTCTGCTGATAATGATAGTTCATTAGTTTATATTTTAATTATAAATTCTAGCTTATTTTACACATTTAAGAAGAGGAAATGAAACAGATGTTGTTGAAAACGCCTTGGCTCTTTGTTTTGTGGCTGTAAAGAGGGAACACAATATGTTCTTTTTTCTTCACAAATATACTTAAATGAACTAAACATACCATATACCATAATACTTATCTGGTCCATTCACCAGGACTGTCTAGCAGAAAGAATGTCCTGAAAACATAATATGGTGTTAGATTAAGAAAAGGAAACAAAGACCCATACATTATCATTGATAGATTAACATAATAGACATTGGGAATTCTGTTTTAGATCTGGAGGCCAGCGGCAAAAACCTGACTGAGGAGAGAGATGACCTGAACAGAACTCTGGAAAACTATGGTACAATGATAAGGTCAATTGTTAAAGTGAAAGACACACTTGAGCTTTGGACTCCTGTATTTTCTACAAGCTGCTCTCAATATTTCCCTCTGTTTTGCTCTTTTAAAATCTTCTTAATTTGTGCCTCTCACTTCTGGTGCAAATGGTCAACACCCAGGTTTGAGTATCAAACTCTAGTTGCCCTGATTGCTTTTGAGAAACGTATCCCTGTACATCGGGGTATACATACAATAGGATCAGAAATACAAAATGACATTTTTAATATATGATTCAGGGAAAGGAATGAAACAATTGCCCTTTTCAAAGCGTGTACTTGTTTCTTTTTCTTTTTTTTTACCGAACTATAATTTGTGCTTTATTTTCAACAAAGCCAGCTCAGACATTTAGTGTTTACACTCAATCATATGTTTATTTGGACACATAATCAGATTTTGTTGGTAACCTCTTCATTAAAATTGAAGTTTCAGAGCAAAACTCCCTGACTGAAGAGCGAGACAAGTTGAAGAGAATCAACCTTGGTAAGTATTGAGATGAAAGATAAGATAAGATAAGATAAGACTTTATTAATCCAGGAAGGAAATTGTTGTGCCAGAGTTACAAAAATACAATAAACACAGCAGCATAATAGTAAAACTGTACACTTAAAAAGTGCAGTAAAAATAGCAATTAAATATCTACAGGAAACATGAAACATAGACGGTCACATAATTAATGTAATTATTACCAGTATTTAGTAGTGCAAAAACTACTGCAATAATCAGGGGTTTGATCTGAAGGGGAATATCGTACCTAATCGGTACTGAATATCACATTAGGTAACAAAATATGATTTAATTTATCTGAGGCTTTTATCCAAAGCAACCTACAATAGGTGCAATAAACCATAAAGATACAAACTCAGAACATCAAGAAACATGCATGCTGACCGACGGGCAGCGGCTAGTCAGTTAGCATGCTTATCTCTGCAGAACAACATATAGATGTTTTGAAGTTACGTCAAAATCGCAAGCTCTTTACATTCTGTTGATAATGATAGTTAATTTTTTTTACGTTTTAAATTTAAATTACTTATCTTACACATTTATACATAGGATATGTACAGCTGTTGTTGATAACGGTGATCACAATATTTATTTTGTTCACAAATATATAACTGAACTAAACATATCCTGTATAACTGATATGGTCCTGTTGAAAATAATGACAGCCTCTCCATTCAACAGGACAGTTTAGCAGAATGAATTTCATGAAAACATGATATGGTGTTGGAGTAAGAAAAGGAAACATGGATCCATACATTATCATTGATAGATTAACATAATATACAATGGGAATTCTGTTTTAGATCTGGAGGCAAAATTGAAAATGACAGTTTCACAGCAAAACTCCCTGACTGAGGAGAGAGACAAGTTGAAGAGAATCAACCTCGGTAAGTATTAAGATGAAACTACTGCAATAAAATGGGGTTTGATCTGAAGGGGTATAAGGTATACTACATTGGTGGTGTATATGAAAGAAATAAAGGTGTACTTTCTCAGGCAGAACACTGAAGTGACAAAAAGAAAACACGATTTGAACAACCCCAAGTGGTCAGAAAATTCATAAATGGTGTATCTTTGCTCATAGACCCTCTGGGAAATCATTTCAGGTTTGTCATTGATAACACCTCAGCTCTTTTGTAGCTGTAAGAGGGAATACAGTCATTTTTTCATGCTAAATTTAAACAAAAGTTAACAAATCAAACTACTACTAACCTGATTCTTTTGAAAATAATAACTTTTCACTCAAAATTACAGCTTTCAGCAAAGTTCCCTAAAAGCTTTTTATTCAGTATTAAAAGGAAACAAACATCAGAATAGCATTTCTGTTTCAGATATGGTGGCAACTAACAAAAACCTGTCTGAGGAAAGAGACGATCTGAAGAAAAGTCTGACAGCCTTGGGTAAGTATGATAATGAAATCAATTGTTCAGCCTGTGGGCCTTTATATCATATAAGTGCAAACATTCAGATTTGTCATACGGTAGATACCACCTTGGTACTTTACTTAGTAGATTAAGCATCTGGTAATTTATGTATTAAGGTTTTATCGTTCTTTCTTTTTTCCACTATTCTTATCAAGGATGGAAGGTCTTCAGCGGTAGTCTCTATACCATTTCTTCTATCAAGAAAAATTGGCAAGAGAGTAGGGATGACTGTCTTCAAAAAGGGGCAGATCTGGTGATTATCAACAGCAGAGAAGAACAGGTGTGTGTGTGTGTGTGTGTGTGTGTGTGTGTGTGTGTGTGTGTGTGTGTGTGTGTGTGTGTGTGTGTGTGTGTGTGTGTGTGTGTGTGTGTGTGTGTGTGTGTGTGTGGGGAGGGGGGGTTCTCTGTTTGTGTATAAATCTATGTGTGAGAAATGCATTAATTTAAACTTCACAAATACATTCTCCTGCAATGATGCTTTCCTCAGGAGACTGCAATTAACAGTTCTGTTTGGCAAATGTATTAATTGCCACACCCCATTTTGCCATCTGGGTTAGGGTCAGTAGAAGAAACTGAATCTTTTACACCAACATTCTTAACCAACATGCCAATTTTCCTTATCTTATGGCAAAAACTAAGGCCGTCAAGGGTGGGTGAATTATTCAGGTCCGACTGACACAAAAGTCAATGAGGGGGAGACTAATTAGAAGCAGGTCATTTATGTTGTTGACCGTTTGTGTGTCTCTTTAGAATTTCCTAAGCCAATTTCACGAGACAATGTGGATTGGTCTGACTGATTTGGAGACTGAGGGGACCTGGAAATGGGTTGATGGGACTCCAATGACGGAGAGGTTTACATATTTCATTTCAAATTTCAAATTCAAATGAAATCACTGCCTTGTGCTTTCTGGTTTGTGTTCTCCGATTAAAAGCGTATCTGTTTTCTTTCATTTCAGATATTGGGGTCCAGAAGAGCCTAATGGTGGAACATCTGAAAACTGTGGGGATATAAAGCAGTATAATGTGGGAAAACGCTGGAATGATGCAAACTGTAACATTAAAGTCTGCTGGACCTGTGAAAAAAAAGTCAGTCCATAACTCTGCACCTACCCTCACCAGGCATTTACAAAATCTCAGGACCATAAGCATTATGGACACATTATTGGCAAGAGTAAACAAAAAAACAGATATCTATTTTGCTTCACTGCTTTGGCTCGAAGAATAATGAAAAGATGAATATGTTTAGCAAGCCTTGATTTATTGTTAAATAGATCTCTGCTGGTTCCTCATAAGTTTAAATCATTCAAGGTGTGAATTGTAATATATCAAGGTTCATAATGCTGTTAGAGCTGGATGTTCCAGATCTCAGTAACTCTATTCAAGAATGTTATCAGGATTAGGTATTTTCTAAGGAAGACTGTAATATTACCAATATGCCCTTCAACGTTTAAAGGTAGCCCTTCCTGTGACTGATGCTTTGCAGTTGCAATATGGTCCAATTTATATGAGGAATACTGCTGGAAAAAATTGTGATGTATATTTGCAATCACCATGAAACTAAAATGTCTTAATTGTGAAAATAAACATATATTTCAAAAATTCAAATATCATGTTTTGTTAGTTTCCCTGACCAAAAGTCAATTTAAAAGCTTACAAAACTAAGATAACAGGTAGAAAGTACCTGTTTATAATTTATTAGGTATTTCATGCTGTAGTTATAAGGCAACTGTGCATCGTGACACTGTCTCCTCTGCTGTGACTTATATATTTTATTTTATTTCAAGCAGACATTTCTCAAACACTTCACTTCCTTTTACTGTGTCAATAATGATCTATTCCTTTTTTTCACACTTTGACCATATTCAGCAGAAGCTGTGAAGGAAATAAGAACTGAAAGTGAAAAAATAAATCAGAGAAAAACATTTGAAGTTACCAAGGTTCCTTTTTATGTTAAAATAACCAAGTCTTAATGTTGGTTATATTTGTTGACATGACAGTCACACTTTCATGGTATTTTATTTAAACAGATCAGTACTTATTGTTTGCCAGTGCCTTGTTTAGAAAGCCAATTAGTGTTTTTGTGTTTTCAATAGCAGATTGAATTATAATTCAATATAATTCTTAACTAATAATTGTCTTATTACTCTATCACAAAAAAGGGACTGAGTTGCATAATGCAAAAAAGTCAGATAGCTAATAATAAAATAAGTTAAAGGTGGGGTAGGTAATTTTGGAGAAACCAACTCGAGTGCGCTAAAATTTGAAAATACACAGCCGGAAAAAAATCTGCCACTTCCTTACAGAGCCCCTCCTCCAACACACACGAACGCGCACATGACCAATGAGGGCACGAGATCAGTTTGTGCACAGATGGAAGGCTGACAGGCAGGTAGGCCATCCAGTTATTTTAGCCGGGCTGGCTAAAATGATTGGTCGTGCTTTTTACAGTACTACGGCTTCCACAGATGACATTTTTTTTATGGATTTTTTGTCAAAGCACTTAAAGGGGACCTATCATGCAAAATGCACTTTTGTACGTCTTTTATACATGAATATGTGTCCCCGGTGTTCCAGGGAACTCACCAAGTGTCAGAAAACACAACCCTCTCTATTTTCCTCCATACCCAAATCTCTAAAAAAGGGGCTGCAACGGATCTGATAAAAACTGATCCAGATTTGAACACTGTCCTGACGTCAGGACGGTGGCGCTACGGCTATTGGGCCAACTCCACCAATCAGGAGGAGACAACCACGGCATTGCCGTTCGAAAGCGCTGGAGATGCTGTAGTACATATGCCAGGCCTCTAGATGGTGCTGTTGCTCACAGAATCAACCCTTGCAAAAACAGAGCTAACATTTTTCAAATTGAGCGAAATGAGGCATGGCTAAAATGCATGATCTGTTTGGTATTTAAAAAAAAAAAGTATAAATATGCCTTATGGTCCTACACTATATTATTCAAATATAGCATGATAGGTCCACTTTAAGATATTCATTGCTATCGGGATGTTAAGAGCATTCCATGGAATATAACAAAAAGTGTATCTCGAGCCGGTTTCTCAAACTTACCTACCCCACCTAACTGTTAGCTCAGGTTAATCTCGCCCACCTCCGACGTAAGCGTGACTTATGCGGTCTTGCTTCTAGACCGACCATTTTTTGGTGCTTGAAACGAACCGGCTTCCGGAGCTTAGAGGTGGCTCCGCTGCGGTGTGAACAGGAAAAAACGGTGCTTTTCAGGCTCTAGCTCCGAACCGGCCCTGGAACCAGTGTTAATTTCGTCAACGAAAACTATGACGAAAAATGTTCGTCAACGACCTTTTTTACATGACTAAGACGAGACGATGACGAGCTAAAAATAGATTCTTGATAACGAAAATTTGACGAAATGTATATTTAGTTTTCGTTGACAAGACGAGACGGGACTAAGGTGTTAATGGTGGACTATCGGACATTCAAAATGTAGGGTATTTCCCCCCAAGTGTCCGTCTTGTCTGTCAAAATGCATCTTACATTTCTAACTTGCAATATCATTATTTCCGCTCTCTTCAC